CCCCCGACCAAGGGGATCATTTTGCCGGGGGGGGGGGGAGAGCTCCCAAGGAGGCGGACGGTGTAGCTTTCGCTCTCTGTGCCCCGCGGGGTGCTTTGTGCAGGGAATCAGGGGCGTGGTTCCCTACCTCTTCCGAGTATAGCTCCACGTAGTCAGCCGTGTTGGTCTGGCGCAGCAGAACAAATTTAAAGTCCACTCGGGGCACCTTTAAGAAGAAGAAGAAGAGATTGGATTTCTACCCCATGGCCCTTCACTCGGAGTCTCAGAGCGGCTCACAAACTCCTTTCCCTTCCCCTCCCCACAACAGACAAACACCCTGTGAGGTAGGTGGGGCCGAGAGAGCTCTGAGAGAACTGCCCTTGAGAGAACAGCTCTGAGAGAACTTGTGACTGACCCACGGTCACACCAGCAGCTGCAAGTGGAGGAGTGGGGGAATCAAACCCGGTTCTCCCAGATTTGAGTCCGCCTGCACTTAACCACAACACCAAACTGGCTCTTTTAAGGCCAACAAAGGTTTGAGCTTTCATGTACATGCACACTTTTTTCAAGTATTTTCAAATATTTCAAATTTTATTTGACAAAAAGTGTGCCTTGCACCTGAAGTACCTTGAATAAACTTTTGCCAGTCTTAGAGTTGCCTGACTGGACTCTCAGTTTGTCCTTCCGAGTGCAGTGTGGCTTTCTACACCAGGAGTTTCTGCCTCAGAGGTGGGCGCCGTGTCTGACAGCGTTTAAGCACAGGGCCCGTGTAGAAAGGACATGACTCTTTCAGCTTGAATGCTTATTTTAAATCTCTCGTAGACATTGTGGATGCCTTGTCAGACCCAAAGAAGTTTCTCTCCGTCATGGAGAAAAGAGCAGACCAGATGAGAGCGATGGGGATCGAAACGGTAAGTCGTGATACCTACAGACACCAAGGCGGTTTGCATTTTCACTGAACGCCTCTCGCGGGAGAAGCCGTGCGGGAAACGCACTCTGGGCCGCATGCCGCAGGGACGTCCCTCCCCCCCCCGTCATCTGGCACCCCCATTTTTTACTTTCTGACGACTTGAGAGAAAGACACACAAGCGGGAAACTAGCCTCTCTCTTTGCGCACTTGTATGTCTGTGTTCTGTTGCAAAATATATCTTGCACCTGAAGATAACTAAACCATACTTTAAATATCATTTGCAGCTTCTTGGCTACAAATAACCCAATTTTTTTTTACTTTTAAGACATTTGCAGTTGCTGTTAGCGTTGTGATTGAATCTCCAGCAGCTGTCTCTATTCAGACCCTCTGCTAAAACTGCAGGAGAAAATGGGCCGGGGGTTATTGCAGATTTCCTAGGCCGGGACTAGATTAAGTGGCGAGTGCGAATCTGCAGGTCAGCTCCAGCTAGTGAACGTAGAGGGCTCCTGAAGTTTGCCAGTGAGGCAGAGAGTCCCTCAAACCTGTTGCAAGCTTATACTGAGTATTTTGCCCTGAGGCCACAAAAATGGCCATCGGGTTGTGCCCTGAGACGATCTCTGCTTCTGCTAAGGTTATGCAAATGCTTTCCCCACAATGCTTAATCCAAGTGGGATAAGCCATTCTCCTCGTGTGCTTGCTGGATAGGCTGGGTTCTGGCATCCAAGCAGCCGTCATGCCTAGGCCCTGGATCCCTGCCCCGGGGGGCTTACTATATCCACACATGCAGATGTACGCTGTTTCCTCGCTCTCTGTATTGCCCTCATTTCTAGCTTTGTCCTCTTAGGATGCTTTATTCCTTGCAGAGCGATATAGCCGATGTTCCAAACGACACTTCAAAGAACGATAAGAAAGGGAAAGCCAACAATCCCAAGGCAAACGTTACTCCTCAGACTAGCTCAGAACTGAGACAAAATCCCACTTCTGGCGTCGGGCCTGGGATAGAGGCTAAGAAAGGTAAGAAATCTGGGAGACTAGTCCAGAGGTTCCTTACGGCATCGCTTTTCCCCTTCACAGATACAGTAAACAGTTTCAGGTGGGGTCTCCGTGTTGGTCTGAAGCAGCAGAACAAAGTTTGAGTCCTGTCAGGCACCTTTAAGGCCAACGAAGTTTGATTCAGGGTATAAGCTTCCGTGTGCAAGGTGCACTTCCTCAGATACAGTGAAACAGAATTTCCTCAGCCATTCCATATAGGAAGAGAGAGGGGAGGGGGTTAGTTTCCAGGAAGGAGAGTCCCGTCAGGCACCTTTAAGGCCAACAAAGTTTGATTCAGGGTATAAGCTTCCGTGTGCAAAAGGCCCACTTCCTCAGATACAGTGAAACAGAATTTCCTCAGCCATTCCATATAGGAAGAGAGAGGGGAGGGGGTTAGTTTCCAGGAAGGACCAATTAGAGTCAAGACGTAGACAGAAACAAAAATGGAAATTACCAGTCCCATACATACAGGCAGAGGGTGAGCAGTAAATTATCATACAGCACATGTAAGATGTTTAACAGATTCAAGGATCAAACAGGGATAATAAGCTTTAACAGATTCAAGGATCAAAC